ACATATGTTGCAACTAATTTTAGCTTATGTTGCAACATTTTGTAAATTTGAAATCAATTGCTGTACCATCTTTATACTCGAATCAATATCTCGAAATAGATCTAGGCGACGATTTCTGATTTCAACCCTGAGAGAAGAAACTCGATTGTTATTAGCGTTAGATATCGTTACTTCAAAGATATCCCTTGCTTTCTCACCAGGAATCAAACAGTTGAGAGTAATATTTCTGCCTTCGAGCAACTTATCAAGTTTTGATTTATCGGATGTTTCAGACTTATTAGGAACTGCAGTCTTATCAGACATCTTACTTTCCTAAATACAAGAGCCTATAGTGAGAAAAACTCGCTCTCATACATATACAACTTCTGGCATATACATACCTTAATTTTTTGCGGGAAGGTTGTTGGACGGGAACTTTCACATACCCCTACATGCTTTATATCTTACTCAGGAAAAAGATAAGGAGGTATGAGGCGTGATTAGTATTGTCGTATGATACCAAGAGTCCCTTGGCCGAAGGCGCTAAAGCAAAAGCACATGTAAACGGAATCTTCATACCTTTTTACATGTAGATCTACCGGAAAGACATATAGTTAGCTTTACGCCTAGCGATCTCAGAATTGTGAGTCCACCAGCCTTTCATAACATATGCTTTTGCCGTCGGTATTTACTTATAGGGTATGTCCTGGGTTGTATATAGACCTCCTTTCACATTTTTCTTACATTTGTTTGGGAAAAAAATAAAGGTACTGGTTAGCATGAATATTTTTTCGATATATGTGAAAATTAATTAATATGTCGCATAAGACCTAACTGTTGATCCACTTATTTTTTGTCGCACAATCTGTGATTCAGAAAAAAATTTTTTGAACTAATGATCATCGGATTGGTAAAGTACAATACCACTCTGCCTGATTGGCTAGTATTCTATTACCAGCTCTCGACATTAAGGTGGAAATAATACCTTGAGTCGGTGAATGTATAGCTATAGATGAATTGGAATTAGGTC